GGTTAGGGGCAAAATCTGCTCCACCTCTTTGATGCTACGTTAACTAAAGGGCCTGCTTCCGTCTCTAAAGCTCATAGCCACTAACATGTTGTCTGGATCAAGACAGTCAAAGGTCAGCATAAATTTAGATGCATGAATAGTTTTGCCATTAACTAATTACAAGCCAGTGTGAAATACAATAAATTACGGAACAAGTTAAGAGTCTTGTCAAAACTACAGCTGTAATTAAATCTGCAACTCAAACTGAAAAAGATTAACTAGGGGGAAGTGCAGCCCTAAACCATTACAAAGTCAACCTAATGCTTGACAGAATGTTTCCTATGTCAGCTATGTATGTTTTTCTTTAGCTTCTTCTGACAATCAGTCTGAGATTTAAATCAAATATTTAAAACATAGCCCTATGCTCTATACATTTGTTATATTTAAAATATATTTCTTGTCTTATTTGTTCAATTTATGTAAATATAAATACATAATTATTCAAACAAAAAATGGAAGCTCTATTGGGCTTAACTTACACAAAAATGTATATGCTAGTCAACTGAAAAAAAACAATATATAAGCCAACCTGGCTAAGCTAAGGACTATTTTATTCTAGTATGTGTGTATTGCTAATGAACAATATAAAATAATCATGTGTAATTAATAATAATAACAGTAAGAAGAAGAACTGTAACTACATTGACCAAAATTTGACATGGATAAACTAGTCAGTATTTACAGCCAATTTCTGAGTCACTTAACTCATTTTTCCCATCAGTTTGTTTCCCTAACTCCCACAGTCTCTGCAGCAGTTTGGCTCTTGTGTTACAGTGCACACAGATCTGAGCACAATCCCACTGAGGATTGAGGCCAAAACAAAAACACAAAAAAAACCTGTTGCTGTGACATTTTGTTCCTTCTCACCTCCGCACACGCCAGTCACAATGGACCGGTGTGTGGGGGATCTGTGTTCAGATCACCATGGTGATGGCTCTCTGCCTCCCAAGGCTCCCTGGAGGGGGTATAAGGATTGACAGTGGGGAGGAAAAAGAGGAGGAGGATTGTAATGGAGAGCAGGTTAATAACTGTGCCTCGATCAAAATGTAGTGATATTGGTGGGAAAAAAAGAAGATATAAGATAAAAGATATTTACATTTGGACCAAAATCTGTACACCAGTACACAGAGATAGTGACAACACAACACACGACTGACACTGGCTGACACACTTGCCCAGAAAGACTTTTACTCCTCAACCTTTCCATGAGCAAAAAAATAGAACCAAACTGTGCAGGTTAATGAACAAAGGTCTGGGAACATCTGTCTAAGGGTAAATCATCCTTACATGACAGAAAGGCACAAAGATTACATTACACTGAGCAGGACAAAAGAGCACCCTGCTCTACGCCATCAGCTTAAATTTCATTTGCTTATTTGACTGTTGTCCCTCTCTCGGACAATTAAGCCAACACATTCCCAAGGGACCCAATAG